TTCATTTCAGCAAGAGGTTGTAAGCCGGCAGGTCCTGGATCCGCACGAGGTCCTCCAGCGACAGCTCCCTCTCCAGCTGCGACTTCGTCGCTTCCAGCACATCCTGCCAGATCCACCCATTCATTCAGGCAGGCAGCACCCGTTAGCTCATCGTCGTCGTCGTTAGGTTAGGTTACATAAACATGGCATGGCGTGTCGAATAAGCGAAAGAGAGCGTGCTCTTACGTTGAACTGCATGTAGGAGGCGCGCATCGCCAGCCACTGAGCGTCCATCATCTCGAAGGCTATGCAGTAGAGGATGTCGAACACGTCCTCGTGCTCTACAAGGATGCACCCAAGCGTTAGTGTCTCTCAGAGGATAACAGAGGGGTTCGAAACCCGGAGATGAATCGTGGCGGGTTTTGAGCTCACCGGACAGCATCCTGACGAAGTTAATCCCCGGCAAAGTTTTCGGTCGAGCTGAGCAGCCATGAGTTGAAAAGGTTAATGCAGAAAAGAGAGGGACATCAATGATAGATTTTCCTTTTTATTAGCTGCTAACATCAATGATAGATTGCGGCATTGACCAATTCTATATGGTAGATGAACCGAGAAAAGAACCAGTAGAGCTACTGCCAATTATGAAACCAACAATGATCCAGTAATTGCAGCCAACTGCTCGCATTCAAACAGCACATGAACAATCAAGCAAGCAAGCCTTTGTGCAAATCATAGAAATTTTAGAATTATTGGGCATCGGCTCAATGATTCTGGCGAGACCTACCGATGCTGTATGCATGTATGTATGTATGCAGGTAATAATAATAGCAGGGCCACTCTAATCAGTAATCCCAGCGCAATGAGACTGTTGTTGGCCGTCAGTTAGCAGTTAGCGCCAGCTGTATGTGCGTTTATTGAAATGATTATGATTAAATGGTCATAATCAAGTTGAAAGATTCCTCATGTTTCGAAAATAAAATATCCCTAATGAGGGCCAGCACCAGATCATTCTGGGGTTCTCTGCTGATCTAGTGGTTTGACTTGTGTGGAGGTAGCACATGGTACATGTACCCTCACCACTAGATTTAATGGCTTCACCAGTACTGAACTACTGATGCAGTGCATACAGGCCATATGTAATTATCAGGTTAGATTTTCATACATATATATATGCATGCAAACCGTATTTGCCATGTACATTGAAAGATCTTTAATCCTGTAGGGTGCATACCTGAATTAAGCTCCAACAGTTGGATCAACATGTGTGAGACGTTAACGCCTGCTGTCGCAAAGGGGTATTCCCATGTGGCTCGCATTCCTTGTGTTTTCAGCAACAATTTCTGGAAAGAAGCCTGCATATGAACCAGGTGAGCAGCAACAGCATATAGCGTGTCAGTATGAAGAAGCCGAATGCCACTTTTCTCAGCACATAAGTAGTTTAAAATATCGGCTTCATTTTGCTTGAAATGGCATACCGGGTATCTTCTTGCGAAGAATAGAAGGTTCTCAAGTGACACAAATCCACAGCCCCTGAAAATCAAAATCAGACCGTTTCTAAGCTCTTTGCTTCCACATATGAACAGATAAGCTAGTTAGTGAGCTAACGAACAGAGAAAACATACTTGTCAAATAGATAGGCAAACAACTAACCATACAGTTTGAGTGCAGGTTATGATGTACACCCTCTGTATAGAAATATAAGAGCATTTAGATCACTACTACTAAAGTAGTGATCTAAACGCTCTTATATTTCTTTACGGAGGGAGTACACTGTTCACGAATAAATACTTGCTCAACTCGACCCTTATTCAAGTTAAATTCAAACTTGGCAATTCGTAATTTTTGGCCTCATCTGATGGAGGTTAAGGATCTTCTTATGACTGCTGCCACTGCCAAAGGAGAATGTTAGGTTTCCGGAAGATGATTGGCTGGGTTCTGACTGTACAATCTTACTTTTAGCAGCAAGATCCCAGTCTCCAAGATTCTTCCTAATGGCTGGAACTGATCTCTGTTCACTGAACTTTGTTGGAGGAACTTCTCAATTGTGGGTCCAGTTAGTCTTTTTGCAGCAACACTATACCAGTGGAGGTTAACCGCCAGTGGGAAGTTTTCAGTAGAAATAAGTTCTTTTGGAAAATTAAAATTCTTCCAGGGACATTTTTTTTTCTTTTGGCCAGTCTCTTGGAGGAGTATTTTAAGTTTTAACCAAGGAGACTATGACACACAGAGGTTGGATGGGTTCAAGCAAATGTCAGTTCTGTAGCCACAATGTGGATAGGGACCATATTTCTTCTCTTGTCCTCACACGTTTGGATTCGCGGTACCCATGAACGTCAATCATCTTCTGGGAGCATGGCTGCACTCGTTTGACCGCGACAAAAAGGCATCTGGTTTCGATTGGGTTTGGAGCTGTTCTGTGGACTATTCGGGGAGATTGGAACAATGCATGTTTCGGGTGGGTTGATGCCCAATGAACCAACAGCCTTTTTATTTTTTTAGTTTATCACTGGTTAAGATTCTGGGTTGTGGTGTAGAAGTGATGAATGTGTCTGGCCTCCAAACTACTTCAGCAGGTTAAGGTTGAGATCTTCAATTGACGACACAAATGCAACCCACAGTGAAAAGACTTCAGGGATGAATGTTAAACATATGTAGTCTGCTCGCTAAGTTGTTTGAAACTTACTCCAGCCATACTGATGCAATTATTAACTTTGCTGGGGTGTTTACTTCTATGTACTGAACTTTGTAGTGTTGGTTTCCTATAATGGACATCAAAGGCCAACCCCCTCTTTTCTCAAAGTTAAAAAAGAAATCATACAATTAGAACAAGGAAGTACCTGAAATCAGTTGCAGGATTTGGGCCCTGCCACCCCATATCTTTCCACTGTTCAGAAACTAAGCTCGTGAGCTCTGTATCGGGAAAGGAAATTTTCCAAAGAGCCTTCAGGGATGTCTACAACCACAGTCCGAAACAAATATAGTGGAGATGCAATCATCAATTAGAAGTCTTGTATGGTAGAAATGGGAAAATAACTAACCAACTGGGTGTAAGTTTTGTTTATTGCATTTATACCAGATGTTCCGGTCGGGTCTCGTCAAAAGGTATGTTTAGTCTGT